TGTCCCTTTGTTAGTACTTTGTCAGCTACCCAAGGCCGCCCTGCTCCGCGGAGCGCGTGGGCAGGGCTCGGCCAGCCCCGGCCTCTCATTCACTGAGGGATCCAGGCCCCACCTGCCTGTGCTTTCTGCATGCTTACGTTTCATTTTGTTAATTATTATTTATTCATACAGGGTGATGAAAATAGTCAGAGACAGTTTTGAATGAAGACCGAAATATCTCTTTTTTTAATTGTAGGCATGTCTTATTTTCTACTCACTGCATCTCTTTAGCATAACTGTTAGCAAACAATGGATAATTTTCTTTCATTGCTCATTATGTTAATATTATGATAATGTATTTAAAAACATCTAGTTGTGTAGTATACTTCGAAATTACTCTTTAAAAAAAAGCGGTGGTACCGTGTGTTTCCTGTTGAGGCGCTGGCGACGGCTACCGGCGCGGGGGGCCTGGGGAGGGGCGGTTCTGGTGCGACGGGCCGCAGGTGACATTGGATTCCGGCGGGGAGCTGGAGATCTCGTGTGAACATGTGGGGACTTGGCTTCGGGAAGTTCGTGTGGTCTGTGTCTCGTGCAATAGCTAGAACTGTTTCGGCGCAAGACTTTTCTCCGTAAGACGCACCGTTCCTCTGGTTACGAGCGGCGGCGTGTGGGCGTGGCGCGGAAGTGTCACTGCAGGAACCCCTCGGTCCGACGCCGGCCACGTCCTGATGGGTGCGCGCAGTGGGTGCTGACCTTGCTCGTGAGCTGAGTGTGGCTCGGGCCTCCGAGGGCGCGCTGCTGGTGGAGCTGAGCTGAGACATTCCTGCAGGGCGACGCCCAGTCCTTAGGACGGGGCCCCCCCGCGGAGAATGCAAAGGGGTCTCAGCAGGAGGAACGCGGGTGGTCCAGCGTGGTCTGGATGGTGTTGGTTGGGGTGCTTCTGGAAAGGCCCGGGGCCCTGGGCTGGGCGCCCACTCACGTTTCCGCCTGGGCACTTTCGCTCCGGCCGGACGCCGGCCTGCCCGTGCAGGGGCGAGGGGTGAGGTTAGCCGGCTCCGCGCTGCCCGCTCGCGTGGGGTCAGTGCCACGCTCAGAAAGTT